AAAAAATGAGACAGATACATCTCGTTTTTAGCATCATCTTGCAACTTAGCTCACATTTATTTTTACTGTCAATAAGGGAAGAATTAAGGTTTGAGGCCTAATGCTTAAGGTGAATAAAGCCGCTAGATTCTGGACTGGTTCGTGTGTCAGACTCTGTTGTGCGTAGTGCTGATCGCAACTTTTAGATAAGTGCTAGTGTCTCTTTTAAGACTGTGCTGCCAATTGACATTGATGACCCTCACGATGAACTTGTTCGGTAATGGATCACAACTGAAGGTGAGGTATGGAAGAGACTTACATTAGGAAATCCTCTAGAAGATCACCAAAACCAAACTTGTTTTTGGTGTTTTTCCATTTTTGAGATAATATCATTGAGTGATTGGAAGATGGGGATCAAATTGAACTTGTAAACGCATCGACATTTTCAGATGACCGAATAAGGGAAGAATCCATCTGGCATGCGAACCAGAAGATACCAAGGACTCCATTCAAGAAAACTCTGGCTTCTTCAGTTCATTGGATATTCAATGACAGTTTGCAGCCTCACTATCTCACAAGTACCAACAATGTTTTGTTCTGATTGCTAAAGTATGCTTTTTACATGGTGAATGGTTTCACAATTGACTTCAATATCAACTACCTTACTCTTTATGATTCTAAGAAAAGTACATGTTTCTGCCTCCATTTCTTTCATGCACTTGATTCCCAAATGCTTCCTATGAACATAAACTTATTAATGAATAGTTATATTGAGTCAAAAGCAGCACAATCTGGTATTTATGTGAATCAAACGGTTGCTTAGATATGGAAAAAAAAGTATGCGAATTTTATAGCTCTCTATCACCCCATGTTTGTATATGGAGGGGACACCAGGTGTGTTACATCTTTACGGCATGATGATATTGTCCACAAGGAATTTTAAAAACATTTCTTTCCTTTCTGCATTGTACATTTGGGTATAACATGATGAATTTTACATTTGCGAGAGGATGCTAGCTGGTATTTTCCTTGATATTTTTGTCAAAGTAAATCTCAGCTGGAAAGGACCGATCATCTTCTATTAATAGGCCCTCTTTCAGATCACAGCTCAATATCTCTCCTTGTTTTAGAAATGATGGTTTCACTCCCGTCATGCTGCAGTTACGTATATAACTCTTTCAATTCTAAATAGTTTTGAAACCTGACTATAAAATAAGGGATTGTATATAATTATGCATTAACAGAGTTTTGAAACCTGACTATAGTTTATAATTATGCATTAACAGAGTTTTGAAACCTGACTATAGTTTGGTCGAAAAAGTTTTGGAAATAAGAAAGGTACAACCTTCTAAATACCCGATACACCCACGAAGGAGAGAGAGAGAGAGAGAGAGAGAGAGAGAGAGTAGGTAAGTCGTACATACAGTACGTACCGTAGTAAGGTGGTGGTACGGTTCGGTCGTTGGGTTGGGGTTCGGGGTCCGTTGGTAGAACGACTAACAAACTAAGTAAAAGTTAAA